GCTCTTCCCCAGCTCCCCCGAGAGCAGCCAGGAAAACCACCCTCCGCCAGGAGACGGCCAAGCCTGAGACAGCGGGCGCTACCTGTAGTGGAGAAGCTGGCCGTCCGCACTGTAATCCCGGTAAACCTCATAGTCCTTCTCAGGAAACACTCCTGGTGGGGAAGAACTGAAAGGCAGCAAAATGAAACCAAGGCCGTGAGCATGAGAAATGGGCTGCATTTAAAACAGCAGCCTTCCCGCCGAGTGTGTGTCACCCTGTGCTTCTCAGGGGGGACCCCAGTGCCCTGGCTCCTGCCCACAAAGCTGTCCCCTTCATCAGGGCAAATGAGTATTTCTTCCCCCTGATCTGACCCCTGTGCAGCCCACCTTCCCCCACCATGCAGGAGCACCCGCCAGCTGTGCAGGTCCCAAACGCACAGAATCTGCCTGTGCCACCGGCCCTTCCCTTCCAGGCATTGCCATCGTCCTCAGAAGAGCAAGACGGACCCCACTGTGCAAGTCAGGTCTCCAGGTTTCCACTGTCCCTGGTGAAACCCAGCCAGCCCCCCCTGCCCCGCGGGTTCAAGGAACTTAGTGAGTATTTCAAGGATCTTAGTGAGCATTTCAAAGACATAAGAAAGGACCAGAGAGAAATTAAGCATACACTAACTGAAATAAAGAATAATTTACAGGGTTTCAACAGTAAAGTAGATTTCGAGAAGCTGCCACGCCCTGGGCTGTTGTCCGCGGAGGCGCGAGGGGACTCCGTGTTCTGCTTCAGTGTCTGCAGCTTGGCCAGGGGGATGATGTCGCAGCCCTGCGGCCGGTGCCACACGGTGCGCTGCGTGGTGGCGCTGTAGTAGTAGAACCGCGATGTGTTGGGGTCGAAGAGCTCCCACCACTGGTTCTCGCTGGTGCGCTTGATGCGGACGCCCGCGGGCGGATCCCACACGCACTCACCGGTGACCAGGTTGGCGTACATGCGCTCGCGCGTGCGCGGCTCGATGATCTCCACCCATTCCAACCTGGGAAAGAGCCAGCGTGAGTGCGTGGGCAGGCGGCCCTGCCCCAGCCCTGTCCCGACCCCAGCACCATGGAGCACCCACCCACTGGGCGCGCCTGCAGGGGCACTCCCTCACCACGTAGCTTCAAATGCTAGACAGCCGTCCTTGTACCACAAGACCTTCCTGAAGGTCTCCTCTTCACGTTCAACGTGGGGGGCACACAATCAGGCCATCACAGAAACAATTTCAGATGATAAAAAAAGAGCTGGAAAGATGGCCTTCCTCCAGCTTCCCCTGTTAGTACCCAAAGCACCGGAGGGTCAAGGTCTGGCAGGTCCACAGCCCAGGGGCCAGGCTCCCCGGCTTCACATCGCGGCCCCCTCCGGGTGGAGTGCGGTGGGAGCTGCTGCCTCTCGCCATCGCTGGGCCCACGACTTCAGCACCAGCTGCTGGCCACCCACTGTGCCCTGCTCCCCTGCTCCTCTCCCTTCCCTGCGGGAGGCAGGGCTCCATCCTGGGCGTCTTGTAACAGAGACTGCCATGTGTCGGCCACCTTTCCTTTCCTTCTTGTTTCTGAGAACTGTCGTCAGTGCATTGGAGCCAAACTGATGACACACAGGGGAGCAAGAGCTCAGATGCTCCCAACACTTTTCTACTTTGCTGTACTCTCCGAGTTTTCTACGATGTTACAGATCGCTTACTTTCGTAATCAAGCCCTGGTTCATAGGTCCGTCCTCAATCCTCAGCAATGCTGGCCGGACTTAAAACTCCTGCTGCCCTGGCTGGTTTGGCTTAATGGATAGAGCATCGGCCTGAGGACTAAAGGGTCCCTGGTTCAATTCCAGTCAAGGGCACATGCCCGGGTCGCAGGCTCATCCCCACTGGGGGGCGTGCAGGAGGCAGCCAATCGATTCCCTCTGATCACTGATGTTTCTCTCCTTCTCCCTTCCTCTCTGAAATCAATAAAACTTATTTTAAAAAAAAGTTTGAGGCTTGTCTTTTCACTCTCTTTATAGTACATTGACTTTTGATGAAAAGCTTGTACCATAGTTGAATTTATAAATCTTTTTCTCTATAATTTCTCCTCTGTCTATTGTGTTTAAGAAATCTTCCCTATTTCTAGGTCAAAAATATTCTAAGTTGACTTGCAAAGTTTTACAGTTTTGCCTTTCATGAATTTCATGAAATTCTTAATCTACCTGACTTTTGTTTACGATGCGAAACCTCATTCTCCCCACATGGACAGCCAGGGGTCCCCATGACGGGTATGGCAGGGCACCTGTTTCTGAGCTCCTGCTGGCTCACTGGCCCAGCCTCCCCTGACCAGCACCAGTGTCTGAACAGCACTGGCTGTGTACTGGGTGCAGCATTACCCAGACCCCACATCCTGCTTCTTCAGTCACATCCAGGCTATTCTTGACCCTGTGTTCCTTATGAATTGTGGAATCACCTGTCAACTCTCACACACTCTGTTGGCACCTTCACAGGATCTATTCCAGGAGAAAACAGAAGCCTCTGTGATGACTTAGTCTTACGCCCAACCACGGTGCATCCACTCATTTAGGTCGTCTCTGAAGGGTCAGATTTACTCATGGTGACGCCTCCCTGGGCGATGTGTGCCAACACTGGCCATGACATCTGTGGCCCGCGCTGGACGATGTGTGTCAAGGGTGGAGGGTGGAAGAGGACACAACGGTCACAAAGGGTGAATCTGGTCAGAGGACGCATTCCTGTTCTTGCAACTTTTCTGTAAGCGTGCCATTATTTCCAGACAAAGTTAAAAATTAGAAAACTAAAAATGAAAGAAAAAAGAAAAATGATGAGCTACAGCTACCTGCCTTGGGGTGGATCGATGCCCAGCAAGGGCACAGGGACTGGGCCCAGCATCAGGGCCTGCAGAGGGTCTGGCCCAGGCAGCCGTGTCCACTTGCGTGAGAAAAGCCTCTCTCTCTGTCTTGCATCCGGGGGACAAAGTGGGGCTATGCCTTCGGGCCAGGCTTCCACGGGAAGAGGGCAAACTCAGAAGCAAGCGCAGATCAGCCTCGACGCCCCTCACGGAGCCAGTCCTCTGATGGCCTAGCCCCGCAGTGGCTTCCCTCACCTGGTGCTCGGCCCCGAGCCCCGAGGCTCCGGCAGGCCAGCATGATGGCTCTCGCATTCGCAGTCCTGCGCCTGGGACATCGCAGCCTCTCCCCGTGACCCCGCGGCCAGTCAGCGGATCATCGGGATGCCCTTCAGCACCACTAGGGAAGGTGCCACCCTGCAAGAGAGCACTGCTGTCTAAGCATATACAGTCAGAAAACGTGTTATCAGACCTTGGGGTTTTGGAGCCAGTAACAGCCCAGCTAGTCCCTCACAGCCCAGAGTGCTGGTGAGAGTGGGGAACGCCCAGTCCTGAGCCAGTTTCTCAGGTCCCTGGGCCCTGCCCCAGAGGCCCAGCCGGGACCCAGACCTTGCCAGCCCATGAGAAGGTACCCAGACCCCCTCATCAGCTGGCCCCAGGAAAGCTGCCCACTGCCTCTCAGCTGTAGTGCCCTCGGGCGTCAGGCAGGGCACTATGGTGACAACATGGGTGAAGCACATGGCGCAGCCTGACAGGGCAATGCCCCAGAATTTTTGATGCAGCTGATTCATAACAAAGAGTAGACTTCTCAAAAGTGTTGATACAAACAT